TAGGCCTTCTTCGAACTTCCAGTCTGGCGATGAGATTGTTTATTTGAGATTATCGTCGCTTCGACTATAATATGTCATGAATTTTGCCGACTTAGGAAACGGAACAATGAAAACCAAATCCCGGTCAACGACATCAATCGTCATTACGGCCGACGACAACAATAATCGGGACAGATCTGTGTTGCGTCATTTGTGTGAGGGTCATTTTATGGTAAAGTGGTCATTTTTAGCATGGCAGCAATGTATGTTTATTGCTTAATGTAAGGCTGTTGCCACAATGATCAACTGCTGGTTGAAAAGTTAAAAAATAACTGTATGAAAACTAAGGTTGCAACTCCCTCTGTCAAAGTTGGCCTTAGATGCAGATGACGTATGAGGGTGAACCCATGGCTCATATTATTTGTAAATATTACTGTAGCAATACTGGAGTTTCGTTGAGTTTTGGCTAGATGCAGATGACGTATGAGGGTGAACCCATGGCTCAAATTAATTGTATCTAAATATTACCCTGTGTCGCTACGGTAATATTTACAATTAATTTGAGCCATGGGTTCGAACTCAATGAAACTCCTAAGTGTAGTGAGGGTGAACCCATGGCTCATATTATTTTTAAATATTACCGTAGCAATACTGGAGTTTCGTTGAGTTTTGGCTAGATGCAGATGACGTACGAGGGTGAACCCATGGCTCAAATTAATTGTATCTAAATATTACCCTGTGTCGCTACTGTAATATTTACAATTAATTTGAGCCATGGCTTCGAACTCAATGAAACTCCTAAGTGTCACTATGGTAATATTTACAATTAATATGAGCCATGGGTTCCCCCTCATACCTCATCTGGATCCAGCCAAAAGTCCGAGGAACTCAAGGAAACTCCTCAGTGTCGCCACGGTAATATTTGCAAATAATTGGAGCCATGGGTTCATGGGTTCACCCTCATATTTCATGTGGATCCAGCCAAAAGTCCGAGGATCTCAACGAAACTCCTCAGTGTCATTACGGTAACATTTACAATTGCATATTAACTTATTCATTCAAATTGGAATTTGTTCAAACATTTAAAATATTTTCTTTAGAGTAAAAGTCATGATTTATTTGGAAAGGTCTTATCACAGGTAATAATATACATGCATTATAATATGAATGCCCTAACTTTTCTCTTTCAAAATGATGAATTTATGACAATTTAATTTTTTTGCAAGTAGGTCAAACTTCTAGGTCATATGTAAAAAAAAACAAAACACCATGCCATTCTCACAGGTAAATACTAGTACATAAGTTTAATATGCAGAATGCCTTGTCTCTTCTCATTCAGTAGATATGACCATGATGACCAAGATTAAATTTATAGAGACAGATGGACAGTCTGACATACAAATGTACATATTTCTATATGAATTGGGTAAAATTGGCCCCATGGTTCTAGAGAAGTTAAAGATGTAAAAAGTTTTCAGACAAACAGATGGACGACACGTCACAACAGACGTTATATGATAAGGAAACCAGAAAAGCTCAAATGAGTGTTTTGAAAGGGTTACAATATGGTTACAGTGTTTGAAAAGCTGTTTTTTTTTCATGCAGAGATATGCATGACCAACATATTCATGTTTTATATTTTAATCTTTAGTAATTTGTTTGTTTGTTGTGAATACATCTCTCTTTGGAATTTTTCCCTCATATGGAGACACTACCAAATAATAATGAAGACATGATGTGTTTGTGAAACACTGATGTCCCTGTATGGAAGTCTAGGGTATGGCGAAGGTTGAAGTTTCTCAAATATATGTCAAACTCAAAGGTCAAGGTCAAAGGGTTCAAATTGTTGATATCAGAAGAAAGTCTTGTCACAAGGAATGCACATGTGAAATTAGTAATCCTTAGTACTTCCTGTTCAAAAGTTAATTGCCAAGGTTAATTTTTTTTTAAGTGGTTCAAACTCTAGGGTCAAGGCTTGACCCTAGAGTTCAAGGTCAAACATATTTATACCTGTTGACAGTTCACAATGAATACACATTAAGCATGAAAGCCCTAGCACCTACTGATAACAAGAGGCCCACGGGCCTTATAGGTCACCTGAGCATCATGCAACAACTTTCAAATGATTGTATTTGTTTCATGTTTTAAGCTAGATGCTAAGGCATTCACAATTTTGGAAGAGGCACTCTTGCTCATCATAACTATGTACTTAGTTATTTAAAACCTAGGAGCAGAGAAGAAGATTTTCAAAGAAATAATGCATTTTCACTATATAATCAATAGAGCCCCGCCCTAACACCAGAACCCCTGACCCTGGGGCCATAAAATTCACAATTTTGGTAGAGGCACTCTTGCTCATCATAACTATGTACTTAGTTAGTTTATTAAAATCCTAGGAGCAGAGAAGAAGATTTTCAAAGAATAAATGCATTTTCACTTTATAATCAATAGAGCCCCGCCCTAACACCAGAGCCCCTGACCCTGCAGGGCCCACGAGTTTCATATTTTTAGTAGAGGCACTTTAGCTCATCATAATTATTTACTGAATTAGTGTATTTAATACCTAGGAGCAGAGAAGAAGATTTTCAAAGAAATAATGCATTTTCACTATATAATCAATAGAGCCCCGCCCTAACACCAGAACCACTGACCCTGGGGCCATGAGTTTCACAATTTTGGTAGAGACACTCTTGTTCATCATAACTATTTACTTAGTTAGTTTATTTAAAACCTAGGAGCAGAGAAGTTGATTTTAAAAGATTTAATACATTTTCATTACATAATCAATATAGAGCCCTGCCCTAACACCAAAACCCCTGACCCTGGGGCCATAAAATTCACAATTTATGAAGAGACACTCTTGCTCATCATAACTATGTGCTTAATTAGTTTATTTAATACTCAGGAACAGAGAAGAAGATTTTCAAAGAAATAATGCATTTTCACTACATAATCAATAGAGCCCCGCCCTAACACCAGAACCCCTGACCCTGGGGCCATAAAATTCACAAATTTGGTAGACCTACTCTTGCTCATCATAACTATGAACTTAATTTGTTTATTTAATACCCAGGAGCAGAGAAGAAGATTTTTAAAGACTTACTGCATTTTGACTATATAATCAATAGAGCCCCGCCCTAACACCAGAACCCCTGACCCTGGGGCCATGAATTTCACAATTTTGGTAGAGGACTCAATGCTAATTACAATCATACCAACAGTTTGACTGCTTGATGTCCGGGAGTTAAGAAGAAGATTTTTAAAGATTGCACAATTTTTAGTGGTTTTTGCCCCTACCCCCAGGCCCCAGGGGGGCAGGGACCATGAAATTCACAATTTTTGTTCCCCTTCACCCATAGATGCTATATGCCAAATTTGGTTGAAATAGGTTCAGTGGTTTCAGAGAAGAAGCTGAAAATGTTTAAATGTTAACGCACGACGCACGACGGACGACGACGGACAAAAACGGATAGCAATAGGTCACCTGAGTCTACTCAGGTGACCTAAAAATTTAGGCCAAGTTTAAAGTTTGGTATTTTTCTTGTAAAAATGTGTATCCTAGGTCAAGCGATCTGAGGTAAAAATTAATGGTACCCAATTAAAAGGTCTTAATTGTCACAAGAAATAAACCTATAAAATTGGAAGCCATTTGTATAGCCCATCCCACTTAAAACTTATAGGCAAGGTTATAATTTCTGCAGACAAATAGACAGACATAATATAAACACAAGAAACAAAATATGTATAATTAGTCAAATGGAAAAAATATACTATTTAATTGGAATCACAAAATAGATTGTTATTTCAGGGACAGGGAGTGGGTAGGGAGATTGGACCCCCCCCCCCCCGCCCCCCTGGAATTTGCTTTGTTATTTAAACAAGACTATATACTGAAGCAAATAAAAAATGACTTTGGACATCCCCCCCAACTTAGAAAACATTGACCCCAATATCATTGTTTTTATTTTGTTTATTTGTTTTCATTTTTTTTTCTCCTGCTTGTCAGGAAATTCTGGGCTGGAATTTTTTGGCTGAGATGTGAACCCCCTCCCTACTCCGAAAAAAAAATTCTGGATCCGCACCAGTATTGGCAGTAACTGAATGTCACATCGACAATGGGAGATAACTTCACAATATCAAATTCGTCTAGTGTGGCATGCGATGATCTTTGACCCTTTTTGAACTTTAACCTAATCACTTAAGGAATGTTTTTTAGTTTTGTGTGAGTTATTGGTGTGTGAATCACACAGACTTGTCACGTAGGCATATTTCATGGAGCGCGCTAGCACTTCATGAAAAATATGCCTATGTGCAAGTCTGTGTGATTCACACACCAATAATTCATACTAAACTGAAAAACATTCCTTATATTTACATTTTATCTGTTTGGAGGCAACTAAAATATACTCAATATTTGAATTTCTCGCTGTCCTATATTATTGCATTTTACTAACGTTGCTGCAGTCTCATTGTGACGTCACGTTAACGCACGTTTCTCCTTGTATATTTCTACGCGTGAGTATACACGAAAATGTTTTTCAAATCAATTTCACAGTAAGCTTACTAGAAAAACACAGCGAATGTAAATATTTGGGTTTATTTTACCCCCCACTATACTTAAACTTGTACTTACCGACTGCTGGTCTTGTCAACTTCATGAAATATAATCCAATTACAACACAAAATGAATTAATCCAATGCACACCAGACTGCCAAATCATAAAATCTTGTAGAGCATCGACACCGAAATGAGCCTAACAGGGCAGCCAAAATCATCTTAGGCCAACTTTGCCAGAGGGAGTTGCAACCTTAGTTTTCATACAGATTTTTTTTAACTTTTTCACCAGCAGTTGATCATTGTGGCAACAGCCTGACATTAAGCAATAAACAATCAATCTGTTTTATAGTAACATACTGTAAGCAAAGTACATGTACATAAAGTCAAAGTGTTATGGAAGTACTAAAAATGAGGACAGTATGTTTTACTCTTAGATGCCAAACATGTAAAAGCATTTTGAGCAATGGGTTCACCCTCAATACCTCATCTATATCCAGCCAAAAGTCCGAGGAACTCAACAAAGCTCCCATGTGTTCCCCCTCATACCTCATCTGGATCCAGCCAAAAGTCCGTGGAACTCAACGAAACTCCTCAGTGTCATTACGGTAATATTTACAATTAATGTGAGCCATGGGTTCACCCTCATACCTCATCTGCATACAGCCAAAAGTACTAGGATCTCAACAAATCTCCTCAGTGTCGCTACGGTAATATTTACAATTAATGTGAGCCATTGGTTCACCCTCATACCTCATCGTGATTCAGCCAAAAGTCCGTGGAACTCAACAGAACTCCTCAGTGTCGCTAGGGTAATTTACAATTAATTTGAGCCATGGGTTCACAAAAGTCCGTGAACCTCAATGAAATTCCTCAGTGTAGCTTAGGGTGAAATTTTTTTACAATTAATTTGAGCCATGGGTTCACCCTCATACATCATCTGCATATACTCAACGAAACTCTTCAGTATTGCTACGGTAATATTTTCAATTAATATGAGAACTCAACGACACATTCATAGAACTCAATTACAATTAATTTGAGCCATGGGTTCACCCTCATACGTCGTCTGCATCTAGCCAAAATTCAAAAATATTACCATAGTGACACGGAGGAGTTTCGTTGAGTTTCACGTACTTCCGGCTGTATCCCGATGAGGGTGAACCCATGGCTCAAGATTAGTGCACTAATAATTGGAAAAATGCATATTTTTCACTTCACCGAATATATCAGAGGTTTGAAATTAAGTTGACATCTTTCCAAACATTGTAATATTTTACCTAAGCAGTGATAGGGGAAAGTGTTGAATGGCATAAGGTAATAAGCGTTGCTGTATAACCATGCTAAATTTTGAGGGCACCATGCTTACGTAATTATTTTATGGCATGTCACAAAAATGTCCTCTCTAGAACATCTTTTTCTAGAGAGGACAAAAAGTTTGACAGGCATACACTTCCAAAATAGATCAAATAATTGGCAAATTGGTTGCCAGCACTGATTATCAAGTTGATATCTTCAAGGTAGAAAATAGTTATACAAGACTAATTAGACAGTTCTTTGTTATTTCAAAAATGGAATATATTGGTACCACCATTATCAAGAATGAATGCTTGTGATAAGGTATAATATGTACAATTCCTAATTTAGTATTAATTCTGAGTTTTTCTGTCTTTGCCCTGAAAATGTTATTTTCAATTTTCAAAAGTAAATACTGATTTTAAATCAGTATGGGGAAGATGGTTATCGGTAATATTACTTACCCTAGTGACACTGAGGAGTTTCGTTGAGTTCACGCTCGGACTTTTGGGTCTGGATCCAGCCAAAAGTCCAAGTCCGAGGAACTAAAGGAAACTCCTGTGTCGCTAAAAAACCAGATTCCGACATATAACTAACAGTACCAGGGTTTGTGATATCTCTGTTTCAGGAAGACCACTTCTGTATCATGTCAGAGACAAAGATCTGAAAAAGAATGTGTTAGCCAGAATTAAGTGTTTGCGACGAAACAGCCCGAAGGATCAATTCGTAATGCTAGCAGTGGATACAGAGAGGGAGATAGAGGCAGCAAGTATTTG